CCTGTTGTAGACTACGCCTAAGCCCTGAGAGAAGCCTGTTGTAGACTACGCCTAAGCCCTGAGAGAAGCCTGTTGGAGACTACACCAGAAGTCCTGAGAGAAGCCTGTTGGAGACTACGCCTAAGCCCTGAGAGAAGCCTTTTGGAGACTACACCGAAGTCCTGAGAGAAGCCTGTTGGAGACTACACCGAAGTCCTGAGAGAAGCCTTGTGGAAACTAGCCAAGTCCTGAGCATTTTTATTAGACGTGTTGGCAAACGTAAAATATATTATCTGGGTAACCAGGAGAGGAGGGTAACCTTTGACCCAAACGGTTTTCACCTCTGACCTCGCGAGACGAAACTAGGTAGCAGGTCACAGTATTAATCAGTCGAACCGCAGGTCACCGTAGAACGCGTTATTCTCTAAGATACGGCGTTTGCCGGGTCACGATTTGACCCCGTTGCATGGGTGTAAACAACTGCCTATATTGTAACAAAAATACCTCAGACCTACACAATGTTTACATTTTTTCACATCTACAGGATTTGCCCAGTACAACGATGTAGATATTCCGTGCATTGCAAAATGACAGCGAGCGCTACGGCCTTCCAAAAATTAGCAATTTTTGGTCATTTTATTTGTGCTTGTCTTTTTTACTATTTAACTGGATCCCGTTAGCTAATACCACAGTGTGATAGCCCACTTCCTTACCTTTACATTGATGCCAATGACCCCTGGCAAATTTTATGGCAAACGGGTTTGCCCCCAAAAAAACTGTGACGATGCGCACATCGCGGTGGTCAAATGTTAGCCCAGTTGTAAGATACTGACACACACCATCCTGAGTTTCCGCTACATTTTGATACATTTCGCGTAATGTCATAAACTTCGTTTCTTGGTATACTATGAGAAACTGTATGAATGTGGCTACCACATGCAATATAATAAGTGATATGATACCATTCAATTATATACAAAAAGAGGAATTTAATACAAAGTTCTGACCATTCAAAAATTGTCAAATTTGAAGTCAATCGGTTTCGAACTCCTGCGTTCGATCCATGGAACCAAGGCAGCGCGTTCCATTTTTCGCGCCGCCAACAATGTTGCAACTTTCAACCGCTGTTTGCGAAAGTTCATAAAAAGAAGTAATCAAGTTTTTTCGTCACAAACAGACTTTCTAAAACCCATTCCAAGTCAGACTTATATCATGAAGACGCTAGAGAAAGTGGGATTCATGTGCAACTATACCAATGTCAGTACATATGCCCGATGTTTGTATATTTACAGTAACAGGTCATAGTGTCCGATTTCTCCTTCAAAAATTAGGTCATGAAAAATCAACCTGTTGTTGTATTTGTTCATGCCCAAATTCCTTCTCTTCTGTTTTCATCCGTAAAGTGGGTATCGTTTTGAAGCTTACTATTTGGTCGATATTCTTTCACTTTCTTTTTTTTTCTATATAACTTTTAACAGAACATTTTTAAAGGCAAAGAAACTGTAAAGAAATTACACTTTTCTCAAGGTCGAGCTGCAATACACATTGTGCAACTTCAAAACTAAGTACACAGGTGTCAAGCCAACATAACCATATTTCAGCCATATCTTACATTACAGGTGAATTGGTTAGAACTAGTTGCAAAAACTTGCGATTCGAACAAAAATCGTTGAGAATTCGACTGAATAAGCCCAACTTTCTATCGGTTATTACATTGTAACCACTACAGGATCCCAAAAGAAACAACACACGATAGATGAGGGAGGGTCTATACTTTATTAAACAATGCACCAAATCGACGATGAAGTAGGGCAAACGGGTTTGCCCCCAAAAAAACTAAAGGGTACCTATCTCGAGTCGAATCATCTCCATCATACACGGTCAACTTTGAAACCTCGTTTCTCCAACAAACACCACCGGTAATGTACATCTACGACCTTAAGCGTGACGCCGGCCCTTCTTACATCTCACATTAACGTATGACAAGGAAACACTTACGCAAATCGGAGTTACAAGCGAAACAGTAAACAGTAGCAAACTCTCGCGGATTCTCGCGGATCACATTACCTTGGAAAAGAAGCGCGAGATTTAAACGAGATCTTAGAGAGAGCTGCGCAGAACCGATGCGCATAGCGGTCTGCGGTTCGACTGTTAATGGGCGACCCCCGGGACGATGACGCGGGTATAGAAAGTAGTGCAGCGAATATTCTTGAAGGCTGGGTAGAAAGCCTGATAAGAGCGTCAGCCAGATGTAAGTTGTGCTGTGTAGTGTAGGAATGTATCGGGTTTGAGACTGTGTGATTTGTTTTGCAGTTCGTGTATAAATGCGCCGTATTGCGCAACTGGCTTTCCGGGTGAGTCGGCTGCAGTTCAGGTCACGTCCGTAGGGGGCGATTTCAAAGTGTACGTTACGAGCAGATACGCCGACAGGATTTTTTGGTTTCTAGATATTTTGTAGTTTGTACCTTCTTCTCAAACATATTCGATTTTCGTATTTGTGAAGTGCACCCTGCTATAA